TTAATTTTCAGGTTTCCCAAAGGTTTACCAAATTGTTTAGATAATTTTCATTTTAGTATCAGTTTGTTTGCTTATGCCATGAAAAGTTCGAAACATTGGTTGGCGATAAATGCTATTTGGCGAAAAGATGGTAGTGAATTCATGGAATGAAATATATAATTTTCATACCTGTTAACTTTACTGAAAAGTTTTATTCTAGCGGTCGGGTAACGATAATGCAATTCAGATTATTGTGAGCTCAATCAACGCCTCCTGTAACTGAAAGCCTCCACACGGTTTTTCATAGGTAGTCCGATCAGACCACTGTAAAGTATATTCACTTACTGAACGAGTCCTTTAATACAGAATATAGTTAAAATAAGAAAGTGGTAGAAAATATATGACTAAAAATTTATTTTATTTATGAATATTACTGGTTTGCCTTATTCACTTGTCAACCACTACAGATTCAATTCTCAAATATATAAAATAAATTTCTCTGAATTACTTTTATAAAAGGTTTTGGGTTCATGCGCACAACTGGTACACTTTTTAAACAGTCTGCACGGACTTCTTATGAAAGACCGTGTGGAGGCTCAATATAGTTGTTGAGCTTTAGACAATTTAAAAGCAGTTTTGGTAAACAAGCTGGCTTAATATATGTTTAAATTATCGAAATCTACTAGTAGTCAAAATCATTTTAAATTATATTTATTCAAGCAAGAATAAAGTGTGAATAAATAAATTTGACCCACACATATATCAAACGATAAATTCTTCTGGAAAATTCGGAAAAGTAGGCAAGCATGCATTTTCAACTGTGCATTTTTCAAACACACATTTTTCAGACATGCATTTTAAGTAATTCCGATTAATTTAAACACGCGTTTTAATATATAATCTGTTTTTTAAAACACGCATTTCAAGGTAAGTATGTCTATGTTCTTAAACGCGCATTTTCAGAAACATCAAAAATGAAAAGTTAATCAACTAGATTTATGCTTTTGTGATATAAATATTTCCATTTCTTTGATTTAGATTTAGATTGAAATGTAAAGTCAAATCTGCTTGGGGAAAAAATTATTATTTCGAAGTATTTTATGATTTGAATATTTTTATAAACATTTTCTCAATATTAATCTCTTACTTTTAATTAAAAATAAAGCTTGAAAGGTTAAAGTGATATAAGTAAGTATCCAGTACTAGTCCGTAACTTGCGCAAAGGCTAATTTTAACGTTTTTCTCGAAAGAAATGTTAAACATAAAACTTTCCCTATAATTAACATTAAGGAAAAGCAACCTTCTGAGATATTCCGAAAACTAGTCATGCAAACCAAAAGCAATAATCGCTTACAAACTACAATCACTTTGAGGATTTTACCGAAGGTGATAACAAATGCAGCAGAAACAAACCTTCATGGTCTATTGATTTATGAGTGTGAAAATAAGAACAGAAGTATTAAAGCAATAAGTTGGGTTGATTTCTTTTAAACAAACACAGAAATCCGACATTGATTAATATTCTCGAATTCGTTGGAAAACTGCTGAAGCTTAAAGCCTTTTTTATTGGCAATCATTTTAAAATGGAATTACAGCATAAAGGAATTAAAGTTCTCAACCAACATTTAAAAAAATACATTGAATACCAGTATAATATGTATCAGAACGAAAGTTCGTTACCCTGCGATGTCAGAGGCTGTAAATTTTTTCCTGTGATATTAAGTTGAAACCGACATTTTTAACACAAAAGCTTCGATAAAGCTTTTGTCAAGTTTGAAGAACATTCCCGATTACAAACCTTCCAACTTTAACTCTTTTCAAAAAACTTTTCTCGGCAGAAGAAAATGCCATTTCAATTGAGATTTTGAGCTGGAGATTTTTTTTTTAAAATTAAAATCTTACGGCGAATGAACTAAACTGTATAAAACATCTGGGCATTTGGACTAACTGTATGTGCAGCCTAGTTATAGCAGGTGTTAAAATNCTGGTGTACGTTAAAGTTGTCGGGTCATAAAGTCCTCTATGCTCCCATAAGAAATCATACTTATGGGGGTACTGAGTTGGAGATTGATCATTCTCTGGTTTAGGTCAAAATTACGCTCTGTGGATGAATTAATGGATGTATAAATGCTTCCGCCATATAAACGGGATGAGACTTATGTGTGTGGTAAGTTTATATCTTGGCCATTGATGGCGCCTACGGAAGAGCACCCACATTGCTTTTGGCATGCGATAACAACCATCCAAGTTTAGACAGCAATTGTTTTGATTACGCAAACACTAAATATTTTAACGAAAATTGTTAAGACTTTACATATTTATTCAAGTTATTTTTATATAGAGGGGATTCAAAATCGTTAGTAATCAATTTTATTAAACAAAGACAGAAATATCAACAAATGCATTTTATTCAAAACTCTCTTCAAAATAAAAAGTCAACTTTAAAAATAAAAAAAAATCAGTTTGTCGCTTCAAAAAGAAAAAGAAAATTTCATTCAGCGAAACAAGAAATTTGGCAGTTCAGCAATTGCCAATATTGCATTGAAATTGCATTGAATGGTATTGCAATATTGCATTTACAATTAATAGCTAAGAGCTCTGACATTTTTAATGAGTGATCCAAATAATATGATAAATCTACGGCTATTTGAATTAAGGTAACTAAATAGTCCTAAATGAATTTTTTGATTATTATGTAATTTTAACGTTTCTTAATTCGACTATTTTAGTTGTTAATTATTATGTTACATTCAAATAAGCAAGCCCATATAATGCCTAGCCACAAAAAGTGTTCTATGCATAAAAAACATCTAAATAAAAAAAAATTTACTTCATATTTATTCATACCAAGCTTAACCTACCACTTCAACTTTAAAAAAGGCACAATATTTTGACTTTAGATAAAAACAAGGAAAATTATATAAATAATAAAGTACGGTAGGCAGAACTCTCTTATTTTTACAAAATAAATCCTAATAATAAAAAACTTAATTTACCACTATTTTTTTCCTATAAAAGAAAATAGCATTTTAGAAAGATAAGCAGAATTTGTTAAATAATTGGTTCAAATGGTTGCCTTAATTTAAATACTAGCTGAATAAGTATTCTCCGTACGGTTTGAGAGAGACTAATCTTGAATCAAACTACTAGTAAATCAGTACTTAAAAGTATTTCGAAATTCTGCACAAAATTGAGACATATAATAACACAATTAATAAAGCTAAAATAATTTCATTTTTTTTTTGTTCTTGACGGTGAATCTACGTTATTAGCATAAGCAAGCTCGTTTTTACTAATTCATATATTAAAAATAACGATTAACTGTATTGAGTATCTTTTAGAATATTGTACTCGTGATTGTCAAAATTTACCACAATTAAGTGATTTTTTCTGGAACTTACTCCTTTCACATAGATGTCAACCTGCTCCGGACAGCAAATATATATTTTAAAGTGGTAGTTTATTAATTGTGATTCTTGGTTTAATAAATTCAATTTACACTTTATAGTATTTATGTCATGCTATACCTTTTTTAAAAAAAAGCAAAAGTAGTCAAATATTTGCAAAATTTACTATAGTTACTTAACGTTTTTTTTTTAAAACTACTTTGGCGTGTCCGGGACAACGCCTCCTATAACTGAAAGCCTCCACACGGTTTTTTATAGGTAGTCCGATCAGACCATTGTGAAAGATATCCATTTTCCGAACGAGTTACTTAATACAAAATCTAGTTAAAATAAGAAAGTGGTAGCTATGACTAAAAATTTGTTTTATTTTTGAATATTATTGGTTTGCCTTATTCATTTGTCAACCACTAGATTCAATTCTCAAATATATATGATGAATTTCTCTCAATTAATTTTTTAAAAGGTTTTGGGTTCATGCGCACAACTGATTCACTTTTTAAATAGTCTGCGCGGACTACTTATAAAAATCCGTGTGGAGGCTTTTTGATGTAGGAGGTGATGGTCCGGAGCAGATGGCATCTCTGCTTTCAAAAACCCGTAAAACCCCTCCATCCTAATTATCTAAATTAATATTGCAAAGTATTAACACAGTTTTAATTGGTACCAAATCGAGTACTAATTCTACCTACATTAGTATGTTTGGTACCATAATACCAAAAGTGCCTATTACAGAAATTAATAAAGCACTATTAGCGTTAATAATAGCATGGCGATTTTTATGTTCCTCTTGAATGAATTAGTGTTGTTGCTCCATTAATTTTATTTCTTATTACATAGCTTAAAGTTTTACTTTAATCAGTATCAATTACTAAAATTAATTAAGCATGATTGGTGTCAAAAATAGTATGGAGACTTTTTTTAGTTTTTCACCTAAACGAATTAGCCCCATTTCTTCATTAATTTTGATATTGAGTAGATAATTTTTTTTATTTTTTATTTCAGTTATAGTGCCTACTACCGAAATTAATTAAGCGTCATTTGCGTCAAAAATAGTATGGCAAATTTTTGCTTTTCTCATAAATTAATTATTGTCACTTCTTCATTAATTATGCTTTTTAAAGCATAGTGTATTACTTTATTTCAGTTAGTACTTGTTACCAAAATTAACCAAGCATTCTGTACATCAATAATAGTATGGCGATTTACTACACTTCTCTTAATATATATATTTACTTCTCCTAATACACACACACACACACACACACACACATATATATATATAGATATATATATATCTTCTCTGCACAACAGCCAGTTACCGTATAAGGCTGTCTCAGTCAGTCTACCCCATCTAGATCTGTTCAATGCTATATTTCTCCACGTGTTAACTCTCAAGTCCTTTAATCACTTCTCTTCTTTATCTAATCATCTTCTTTTAGCTCTTCCTCTTCTTCTCTTTCCCTCTGGTGTTTGGACAAAAAATTTTAAGAAGGATTTTCATCGCCCTTTTTATCGCGTATGCAAGAAGCCAAAACACTCAAATCATCCTTGTTTCGATATCTTAGCATTTTTCTTTTTTAGAATTTTAACAATTTGCATTTTTATGTGTTGCAGGTTTTGAAATACTAAATGATTTTTCGCTGCTAGCACCAGAGACACCATCAGGTAATTAAAATTTTAGTATAATGCTCATTTAAGGAAACAAAAAGTGAAAGGGCATAGATAACATTTTCTTGCCAGATGAACATATTTAAACTATTACAGGGACGTCAACTGACATCTCTTCTCGGAAAAGATTTTTCTTGTGGTAGCGAAATTTATATTTTAATGTATGATTTCTCAGTCTAATGAGATTTTTGAATGGATCTTCAATCAAATCGGCAATCGGTTTCTCTCGTTCTCTAAGTTACAGTTTTTATGCAATTTAATAATATATTCCTCACCAGAATTTTTTAAGTTTCCTAAATGTCCCCACTTCTCTGCTACCTAGGGAGTGGTAGGAAGAAGGCGATACAACATTTCAGTTTGTGATGCGATACGTTAAGGTCATATGTGCTTTGTCTTAAGTGTTATTTACAAAGGAGCAGGCAAGTTTTTATGTAACTGTGCAAACCTATTCGTTCTTTATAAACTTGCAGATTCGGGCAAAAAAATAGACTGAATTAAAACTGAAATTTTGATAAACATCTGTAGTTTTCGGAGCATAACTAATTTCAGATTTGTAATCCCCACACCCAAATTAAGTATAAGAAATTTTATAAATGCAACAAGAAATTCGTACCCCTGTGTAATTGGTTTAGAAACATTGATCAAAAATTATTTTACCCGAGTCTATGTACAATAATTCAAAAGTTTAAATAAGACGCCACTTTGATCTTTCTCTCTCGTGGCGAGCCATTTTATATTTAACGTCATTTTATAACCGTCGTTGAACTGCCGACCCAATTTTTGGGTTTACGACTACTAATGTTTACCGTAGGCTACGACTACTAATGTTTACCAAAATTACAAGGCTACTCCGTAGCCTTGCGATTTTGAACCTAATCCAGAAGACAAGGGAACTCCTAGATCAAATATTGGGAGAAATTCGCCTTCGTGGAGGACTTTTCGACGGAACTAACCCGCATTTGCGTTACATGGCATAACCTGACGGCATCGTTTTCGTCAGGTTAACCATGGACTCTAACCCATGATCCGTCTACCACTGAGGATATCTCACGTCAGCACTGTGGTCTGTGCAAGCCGGATGCGGAATTCGTATCGACCAGCCATCACAGGGATCGAACCCCGGTTCACCTCATTGGAAGGTGAACGTTCTATCCCCTGAGCAATCGCGACTCTGTGGCGAGCCATTGTAAACACTAGCAAAAGAAAATAAATTTCTATTAGTTTTTGAAACTTTATTTACCATTTTTATAAAATCTTATGTAGAAAGCTCGGCGGCTAGCATCCCTGCAATAAGATGGTTCGCATAGTGATTAAAAAGTAAATAAAATAAACAAAATATTTAAAATAGTTTTTAAGGCCCTTTTTCAAAGGCTTCGTCTTCACTCAAAACGGCACTCTTTAGCAGATAGCATGCAATTTTCATATCTGTTACTAGTTGTAACAATTTTTCTTGACCGTTTAGCAGGTCAACCAAATACTACACGTTTTGAAAAATATTTTATAGCATGGTGGAAAATTAAAAACAAGATCTGACAGAATTTTTGGTAATTTTGCATATATTTTCAAAGCACTCTCCGAGCGAGATATGGAACAAAGTGGAGTTTCATATAAACTTTTGAATAATTTACATGTAGTATGTGCAGAAAATAATTTTAAATCAAATTTACGAAAAGAATAATACTACTTAAAGTGTAAACTTGGCTACCACTAAAGGAAACTTTTCCAAAGAGCGTTGATAGTTGGCAGCCATGGCTTTAGGTAATGCACAGCCACCACATAGACCGCTAATCTTAAAGTTCTACCACAAATATAAATAGAAACACGATGGCTGGGATAACTGTCGTTCGTAGTTGTTTTAGTTTATCAGCAAAATGAAATGTTTTAATTTAAATTGTTTTTATTTATTTCGCTGCAAAAAAACAGAAATTCAATTTAAAAAAAATCTGTGCCATCATTAAGCAAAGAAATACAACCAGAATGAATGTAGTTAATTAAATTGCAAAAAAAAAAAAAATTTCATCAAAATCCTTGTGCAACGTATTCTAGGATTAAATCCTTAATTTTTTGGAAAAAAACTGATTTTGAAATTAAGTAGAATATTTCTGATTCTAAAGTAGCTGTTATTTCAAATTTTTGGATATAAATTTCATTGGAACTAAATTTTCTTAACACTAACTTTGAAACTTAAATGTTAATTTTCAGGTCTCCCAAAGGTTTATCAAATTGTTTAGATAATTTTCATTATAGTATCAATTTGTTTGCTTATGCCATACCCTCCAACTTATGAAGATTTTGAAAATAATTCTTTCTAGTGGTAGCGAACCAAAGTAGAAATTTTTAAAGCAAATGGATCTCTCATAAAACTTTTATCAGAACTTAAGAATCTAGCCATATGGTCTGCACTCTTATAAGTAATAGTGGACAAGTTACGCTAAAATTAATTTTTTTTAATTATTAAGACGTTAATTTTGCTACCGTCTGAAAAGAAGATTTCTGAAACTACGGAAATTCCGTAGCAGTTGGAGGGTATGGCTTATGCCATGAAGAGTTCGAAACATTGGTTGGCGATAAATTCTATTTGGCGAAAAGATGGTAGCGAATTAATGGAATGAAAAATATACTATTTCATACCTGTTAACTTTTCTAAAAAGATTTATTCCAGTTTTAGGGAAATCAGGCTTTACTGATAGTCTATTGCGAAATCTACTGGTAGTCAAAATCATTTTAAATTATATTTATTCAAGCAAGAATAAAGTGTGAATAAATAAATTTGACCCACACATATATCAAACGATAAATTCTTCTGGAAAATTCGGAAAAGTAGGCAAGCATGCATTTTCAACTGTGCATTTTTCAAACACACATTTTTCAGACATGCATTTTAAGTAATTCCGATTAATTTAAACACGCGTTTTAATATATAATCTGTTTTTTAAAACACGCATTTCAAGGTAAGTATGTCTATGTTCTTAAACGCGCATTTTCAGAAACATCAAAAATGAAAAGTTAATCAACTAGATTTATGCTTTTGTGATATAAATATTTCCATTTCTTTGATTTAGATTTAGATTGAAATGTAAAGTCAAATCTGCTTGGGGAAAAAATTATTATTTCGAAGTATTTTATGATTTGAATATTTTTATAAACATTTTCTCAATATTAATCTCTTACTTTTAATTAAAAATAAAGCTTGAAAGGTTAAAGTGATATAAGTAAGTATCCAGTACTAGTCCGTAACTTGCGCAAAGGCTAATTTTAACGTTTTTCTCGAAAGAAATGTTAAACATAAAACTTTCCCTATAATTAACATTAAGGAAAAGCAACCTTCTGAGATATTCCGAAAACTAGTCATGCAAACCAAAAGCAATAATCGCTTACAAACTACAATCACTTTGAGGATTTTACCGAAGGTGATAACAAATGCAGCAGAAACAAACCTTCATGGTCTATTGATTTATGAGTGTGAAAATAAGAACAGAAGTATTAAAGCAATAAGTTGGGTTGATTTCTTTTAAACAAACACAGAAATCCGACATTGATTAATATTCTCGAATTCGTTGGAAAACTGCTGAAGCTTAAAGCCTTTTTTATTGGCAATCATTTTAAAATGGAATTACAGCATAAAGGAATTAAAGTTCTCAACCAACATTTAAAAAAATACATTGAATACCAGTATAATATGTATCAGAACGAAAGTTCGTTACCCTGCGATGTCAGAGGCTGTAAATTTTTTCCTGTGATATTAAGTTGAAACCGACATTTTTAACACAAAAGCTTCGATAAAGCTTTTGTCAAGTTTGAAGAACATTCCCGATTACAAACCTTCCAACTTTAACTCTTTTCAAAAAACTTTTCTCGGCAGAAGAAAATGCCATTTCAATTGAGATTTTGAGCTGGAGATTTTTTTTTTAAAATTAAAATCTTACGGCGAATGAACTAAACTGTATAAAACATCTGGGCATTTGGACTAACTGTATGTGCAGCCTAGTTATAGCAGGTGTTAAAATTTGGCAAACATTAACTTTTTTCAAAGCTATAGGGGTTGGACAAAATTACAGAAACACTTCGATACTAACTCTATGTAAACAATATTTCTTTTATAAACAAATGTTTCGGAAGGTTTTGCACAGTAAAACTGTTAGAACGATTTGAAAAATCATGCTTGAAGCTTTTAGAAATTGTCTTCTTTTTAACCATCCAAAGTTTTCACCGACCGCAATGAGCGTGTAAAGTTAAAAGCTTATTTCCTGATTCAATATCACTATAATTAAAAAGCATTCTTATATAAATATTTCTGTATATATTCTATTGCAGTAGAAAATTGCTGATATTAAAAAAGAAGTAATAGACTTCCAGCGCTTAGTTTGGCTGCTCCAAATTTTGCATGGGTGAAAATGACACCATAATACTTCAAAATTGCTGATATTAAAACTAAAAAAGATGTAATTGACTTCCAATGCTCATTTTGGCAGATCCAAATTTTGTATGGGTGAAAATGACACCATAATACTTCAAAATTACTGATATTAAAACTAAAAAAGATGTAGTTGACTTCCAATGCTAATTTTGATAGCTCCTAATTTTTTGCATGAATGAAAATGATACCATAACAGTTCAAAATTGCTCATATTAAAACTAAAAAGGATGTAATTGACTTCCAACGCTTATTTCGGTAGCTCCAAACTTTGCATGAGTGAAAATTATGCCATAACAGTTTGGTGATATTAAAACTAAAAAAGAAGTAGTTGACTTCCAACGCTCATTTTGGCAGATCCAAATTTGTATGGGTGAAAATAATACCATAACAGTTCGAAATTGCTGATATTAAAACTAAAGAAGAAGTAAACTGACTTCCAACGCTCATTTTGTCAGATCCAAATTTTGTAAGAGTGAAAATGGCACAATTTCTAAAAAAATTCAAGCATGATCTTTCGAACTGTGCAAACTGTTTTGTCATATATTTTGTCTCAAGACAGTTGCTCGTTAAAGAAAGATTCTTTACATAGAGTTGGAATAGAAGTGTTTCCATAATTTTGCACATGCCATGTATGTTCACGCTGTATAAATCTTAATTAATAAATGTTATTGAATGTACAGAAAAGAACATACTAAAGTGATTCTTAGTAACTTTTTATTTATATTTTCAGAATCCGTTCCATCATTCAAAACTAAGGAAGTGACATCTACAAGTACTAGAGAAATTTACGATCAAATATCACCATCTCGAGAATCCACGACTCCTNTATTAAAACTAAAAAAGAAGTAGTTGATATCCAATGCTCATTTTGGCAGATCCAAATTTTGCATGAGTGAAAAGGATACCATAACAGTTCAAAATTGCTGATATTGAAACTAAAGATCTCTTTTTGGTCGATCCAAATTTTGTAAGGGCGAAAATAACACCATTTCTAAAAAAATTCAAGCATGATCTTTCGAACTTTTCAAACTGTTTAGTCATATATTTTGTCTCAAAACAGTTGCACGTTAAAGAAAGATTCTTTACATAGAGTTGGAATAGAAGTGTTTCCATACTTTTGCACATGCCATGTATGTTCACGTTGTATAAAACTTAATAAATATATTTGAATGAACAAAAAAGAACATACAAAAGTGATTTTTAACATTTATTTATTTATTTATTTATTTTTTCAGAATCCGTTCCATCATTCAAAACTAAGGAAGTGACATCCACAAGTACTAGAGAAATTTACGATCAAATATCACCATCTCGAGAATCCACGACTCCTATGTCACGAATCCTGAAAACAATGGATACTTTTCATTCAACAGACAACGCATCATCTACTTTAGCAACAGCACTTTATGCGCCACCTACATACAATAGTGACAATTATGCTCAACATTATTTATAAGAAAAAGCGATTTCACTTCCTTCAAACTTTTAAAATTCATACACATTTTGTTTCTAATAATATTATTAACAAAACAACATTGGTTTTACTATTTGATTATTGGTTTTATAAATGTGATGTAAAATAATGTAGGTAAATAGACACCGAGTAAATAAGTCTAACATATACATAAAATAACTGGTTTTTAACACTGGGGAAAAAATTTGTTTTGTTTTCTGTTGCATGAGATATTTTTAACACATTTTAGATATTTTCTCATTGCTGATATCAAATCTGCAATTGGTTTCTCTGTGCAAGATACAGTTTTTATACAATTTAATACTAAAGTTCGAACCAGGATTTTTTAAAACTCACTCGACTGCCTACTTTTTCTCCACACTTCTCTGTTACGTAGGGCCTGGTAGAAAGAAGGCAAGAATACATTTCTCTTTATGGTGCGATAAATTAATATCACGTGTTGTTTGTTTGTTTTTTTTTTGTCTTAAGTGCTATTTTCAAAAGAACAGACAAGTGCATACCTGCCAACTTTTAATCCTTTCAATGGTTTTCCCCAGTGGGAGAAAATTCGAACTTAAATTACAATTCTAGGCAGAAACATATGCTGACTTTAGATAAAGCTTATCTGGATAAACACGGGTGTATTTTATATCAATATATATGTTTAAATTTTTTTAAAATAGTGGTGGTCAAAAAAATTATAAATTAAGTTTATAAATGCAAGGAATATATAGAAAACATACATTTTACTACCACTTTAAATATAGAAATAAAATTTTACGCCAAATGCGCAAAAGTTGGCAGGTATGCAAGTGTTTATGCTTATAAACCTATATGTTCTTTCTAAACTTGTACATTTAGATCAAAAAAAATAATAATAAACTAACTAAAATTGCAATTCCAGATATACAGATTTGAAATTCTCACATCCGAATCCGGTAAGATCAAGTATTTGTAGAAATGCAATATTTTTTTTTTCTTTTTGTGTATTTTTTTAATTGAGGACTTTACGAAATTACAAAAGAAATCTGCAAAAATAATTAAATTTCATTATTGAACTATTAAAGTAGCCACAAGGAAATTTTTTCATAAAATTCGTAAATGGCAACTATCTATTTCATAGACACGCACAAAAAAATACTTCTTTCAAATTATTCATAAAAATAATGGTATACCGTAAATCGAGATTAAGTTGTTGTCTTAGCTAATTTAGCCATTTTCTATGTCAAGCAAGTACTTGAAACAGATTCATGATCCTTCTATTGTTTCATTCATGAAAAGGCAAAAGCGCCAAACATTTTAATTTATCAACTAGACAATGTTTTTCCAGTTTGAGCGTAGTATGTCACACTTTTGTTTTTAAGTTTAGCTCATTTTTAAAAATTTTAAAATTTGGAAAGAAAAAAATATTGCACAAACACTGGAATTTGAGAGAATTTTTTCTTTTAGCTTTTTAGAAAAGAACCAAGGTGCATGATTGTTTCCAATATAAAAACTCTTTATTTTGATCAAAACTACATAAAATATTAAAACTAATTTGCTTCTGAGTAGAACCAGATTGTTTTCGCTTTAATATTTCAGCATAAAAAAATATCAGTTTTATCTTACAATTTCAGAGGAATAGTATAGAATTAATTGTAAACATTAAAAAAATTAAAATTTATTGTGCTTTGATAAGATATGTAAAATCAGTGTATTAGCTGTTGTTTTCGTATACAATTGTATATATATACCTAATATAATACCTAAACAACTTAATTATTTGTTTCTTTTCTTCTGAAAATATTTTTTTTTTAAATTTAGCAGTAACAAATTATATAAAATTGGGAAATGATTGTTTTTGATAGAATATGCATACGATTCACATTTGACTTATTTTTAGAAGAAAGTGTACAATACACGTTTGAAACTGAACACCTGATTATTCGAAACTGGACTAAATAGAAAAGCAAAATCCTTCGCATTTTGTGTCATTGATGCTCACTTGTATATATCTTTGAATTTCATCATAATGTATGTATATATTTTATTTGCAACATTAAAACTTATTTTAAACTAAAGGAGTAAAATCCCTTTTAAATTCCAACACAAAGAACATACACCGAAGAGCCATTACATTATGACCACTCTCCATGTTGGCTCGCCCAGGTTTTCAAGATTTCTCACCCAGAAACAATGTTTTCATGTGGCACATTAGGACCCATAATCCTCATAGAACAATCCATGACGTCTGTAAGCTTCTTGAACATAGTTGCAGACCAGGTTCACCCATTCATGGCAACAGTTTTTCCTGCTGGGGATGATGTTTACCAACAGGATAATGCACCATGTCATAAGGGTCGAATCGTCATGGATTGGTTCGAGGAACATTCCAGTGACTTTTAATTCATGTCCTGACCCCCAAATTCACCTGACCTTAATCCAATAGAGCATTTGTGGTCCTACTTGCAAAACCGAATTTGTGCTGCCACGCTACCCTCTCGCAATGTAAGGGAATTGCAGGACCAGTTGGTGAGCGCTTGGTACCAGATACCTCAGACTACCTATCAGCACCTTGTGGAATCAATGCCACGGTGGCTGCTAGCAGTTTTGAGGGCTAAAGGTGGTCCTACTTGCTATTAGCAGTGTGGTCATAATGTAATATCTCTTCGGTGTATATACAAATAGTAATAGCATGTTGAAAATAATTATTAAAAAAATAAAAATTCGGTTCATTTACACACAGGAAGGTTACGAGTAAGTAAGTTTTGAATTGAGTTACAATAAGTATCTCTATTCAAGCCAATTTAAAGTATACCAAATCAAACAATAACATGAGTAAAGTACAAATGAAAGTATTTAAATTGACGCAATGTCTTATGCAATGTCCGCAATTTTCTTTGATTTAGTCTTAAAATATGTTTGTTTTTTTTTTGGTTGAAAAAACTCATCAGACTGAAAAAAATTATTTTATGAATTTCATTTAAATGAAATATTTTAAAACTCCATAACTAATTTTCAATTAATAATAAATAAATTATGCATTTTAATTTCAGTAATCTGAACATATTTTGGAATATTTCTCGCTGTTTATCTATAAATCTTGATACAAAAGCGACAAGACATAGGTGCTATATTACTGTGCAGATATTTACAACCTCTCTCCAATAGCATTACCCATAATTTTTCATCATAATTAAAATTTTCGACCAAAGGGGATAAAAACAATCACATTACTACAAAGACAATTGCTTTTCGAATGCAACAAAAATGAATGAAAAATTAAAAGGTGGACGTAACAATAAAAATAAATGATAAAATTAGTCCAAACGTTGCTTAAAAAAACGAAAGATTGGTCTCAAGACATTAAAGTAAAAACTCTAATTTAGTTTTAACTTTTTTTTTTTAGATTAGCGCATTTTTTGCATGCAGTTAATATCAAAATCGAACATAAAATAATCTACAAATATCAGCAATCAAAACAAATGAAGAGCCCGAATTCTATTGATCTACAAACTGACGAACATGGGAATTTATATCGTCATGGGAATATCAATAAGCATGTTCCCGAGGCAACGCACAAATATCTATGACTGGCTAATATTAGAAACCTAACAGTTTAGTTATCTTAATGCCAGTTTGAAACACATTCTTCTTATTTTTATATCCTAGTTGTCATTTTTAAGCTTTCTGGTAAGTATACATTTTTAAGCAATTTTTTGTGCATGATCAATCGTTTTGTTTAAAACATAGTGGCGGGATAAAGTTTATTTGTGTTTGAAGCAACTTTACTCATTATCCATTTTTCTGCTAATTATCTTTCGTTGGGTCTCATTAGTAAAGATTTTTCTTAGAGGAAGAGCTTAGTGAATGAAGCAGGAAAGTGACATTTTCACGATATTTATTACTAAGGGAAGATTCAATTTACTTCCATTTTAATTTTAACAGAACTAGTCAGCATTAGTTTTGAATATGCTTGAATTTTTTTTTTAATTTCAAATTATATTATACTAAAATTACAATAAAATGGTCCGGATAGCACTTTTTTCTTCTAACCCTGATTACAGCGATTTGAAAATGTCACTTATCCACTTTATACACTCAGCTCTTCATACTATAGATAATTAACACTAGGTTTACGAGACGCTTCATTTTGACGCATTTCGAGTTTTGCAAGGAAAGTTGCAAAATCCGCTTGAAATTTTATTTTATCTCTTGTAATGACTTTTAACCGTTGATCAAGGTAAATATATATTGAAGTCAATCTTCTTCAAAAGCGTTGAAATATTGAAATTCTCTCTGTTGTATACCTATCTCTACAGATATGCGTCAAATTGACGCGATCGTAATTTAGACAAAATTTTGAGTAAACATGCAAGCATCACATCCATAATAAATAGAAATGTACCAATAATACTTCGATCCGTTATCCGATATCGTTATCTCAAATGAAACAAGCGATAAACAACTGTTGCCGATAAGCAATAATAGAAAGAATGAACGCCGAATGTCAATTGATGTCAGACTTTGAAGGCTTCAGTTACTTAGTTTGTGGGGAAGTTTTAATCTTAGACTATGTTAACCTTCATCTATCATGAGGTACCTTTTGATAGATGAAGGTTAACATAGTCTAAGATTAAAACTTCCCCACATTGGTGACCTACGGACGTGATAAGAAATTGTCAATATTGATGGATGAATCCACATTAAACAGTTGATATGCTAAAAAAAAAAAAATCCGGTGAAGTAAATAAAGTCTCCCGGTTAATAAATAATAATGAGCGAAATGCTAGAAAAAAAATAATAATAGCGAAAAGCTATAAAAAAATGATGGGAAAAAATAGCGAAAAAGCTATAAAAAAAAATAACGAGCGAAATGCTTGGAAAAAAAAAAATATATATATATAATGAGCAAAAATTGAAGTTAATAAATAAAACAGCATTAATCAACTACTGGTATCTGTTCATCGAATTCTATCACAGATAAAATTCTGGAAGGGGAGTAATGTGGTGTAACTACCACTATAAATAATAAATACCAATTCACTAGTATATAAGACATGTTAACTTGATTCTATCATGGGGTACCTTTTGATAGATGAAGGTTGACATAGTCGATAATTTATTCCCCCACAAGTTCGAGTATTGAAAAATAAAATACTAGAATATTTCATAAATATATATTTCTCATATTTCCATTTTTTTCTTTCTTATGGTACATAATACCAACTGCTCAAGGCACACCAAAGTAATTAAAAAAAACTGTAAATAACTACTAAGTAAATGTATCAAATATAAAGTGGTGAATTATATAAGCCTGCGAATTATTTAGAAATAGTGGTGGATAAAAATCTATTAAATTGAATTTATTAAATCAAGAATCACAATTGATAAACTACCACTTTAAAATATATATTTGCTGTCGCACGTTAGCACCTCTGCTAGTGCCGTTATATGTATTCGTACATGCGTCAAATTGACGCGTGTTTGTAGAGATAGGTATATAAGAAACGTCCGTGAAACTAGTGTTAAAGACCTTTCTTAGTAAAATTTTGTGCGCAGCAGAGATCTATTTTTGGCTTAAATCCAACGAGATTCCAACTACTACGGATTCTCACTAATTTCAGTAAATCTATTTCCTTGTGGTGACAAAGATATTGTATTTTTCAATAAATTAAAATTCAGATAATTTCGTCTACCTCAAAACTAAAGTAATTTTAACAGATACATATGAGATCATATAAACAAATGCTTAGGATTTTTTTTTTCAAAAAAAAAAAGAAAATCTGTTTATTTTAAAATTTTGCTTTAATTCAATTACAGTGTGACCACAGTCTGGAAAAATTTAAAAACTAGTGATAGCTATTTTATATGGTTACCGTTAATTCTAAAGTCTTTAATTCCTCGTCAATTTTAAGAATTCAGTTGTTCCATAGATATTAATTATCATTTCGTTGTTAGCAATTAGTTAAAAAATTTAGTTTCCTCGATCTTTTTCTACCAGCTTTTAAATAATTCCGGAAATATAATGAATTTACCATTTGCTGACACGAAGCCCTAATATCTTACTAAACGTTGCTATTCCACGAGGTGGTTGAAAATTATTATTTTGTAACCAAACTTAATGATATTGTTACTTCGAGAAAGTAAGCACATAAGACTTTTAATTAATCTCTTCTCTCTACTTGCCGCACTTCCATTTGTATGGAATTTTTTTAATGAAATATAACGATTCTAATAAAAGTTAACATATCTGATTTAGAATAAAAAATCTAACACTAAAAATTTATTTTTTAAACTGGTAGGTTATAAAATGATTTTCTTTTTTTAACAGACAGGCATTGCTTCACCATAATACATCAGGATTACCATGATCAGGAAAATCTTTTTAAGTTGTAGCAAAACTAGAAAACCATATTGCTTTAATTTCTTAAAAAATTTTATTTTTAAATCAATTGAAAATCTATCAAAAGTCTTTTGATTAATTTGTAATTTTCAAGTGCAAGCTGAATTCAAATAGTTTTTAATTAGTAACCTCTTAATTCAACCCACCCTTTTTCGCATAAATCTTTAATGTTTTAGATCCATACCCGCCAACTTTTACGCATTTGGCGTAAAATTTTATTTCTATATTTAAAGTGGTAGAAAATATATACTATTTTTCCTTTTATAAACTTAATTTTGAAATGACTTTGATCACTACTATTTTTAAAAAACTTACGCATATATATTATTATGCGTTACTGAACACCATTCAGCTCAATTTTTTTCAATTACAACGTATTTCGTTGTTAAAATTGAAATTTTAGTTCCGTTTTAATACCACTGGGAAAAATCATAATTGAAGGAATTAAAAGTTGGCAGGCATGTAGATCTCTCCTACCATAAGTATTTTAAATAACAAAAGATAAAGGTACTAAAGTCTCGAATCTTAACTGTGGAAACAAGAATAACGCATTTCAGGGAAGGTAGCTTCCCTTCACTCTAGGGCTAACACAGTAGACCGAAGAAAAAGATTCCCTTTCCCTCGCTGACCCAAGCCAAAACTTGTCCTAAACAATGACACCAGGCTCCTACTTGAAACAGTTATACCTCGTGACCATTGTCACCGCCACGGGTCTATAGTTTGTCTACGGTTAGAACTCCATCCGCCACAAAGTCTGAGACCGTCAGCCGCTGTGGAAACAAGAATAACGCATTTCAGGGAAGGTAGCTTCCCGTCACTCTAGGGCTAACACAGTAGACCGAAGAAAAAGATTCCCTTTCCATCGCTGAACCGAGCCAAAACTTGTCCTAAACAATGACACCAGGCTCCTACTTGAAATAGTTATACCTCGTTACCACTGTCACCGCCACGGGTCTATAGTTTGTCTACGATTAGAACTCCATCCGCCACAAAGTCTGAGACCGGCAGCCGCTGTGGAAACAAGAATAACGCATTTCAGGGAAGGTAGCTTCCCTTCACTCAAGGGCTAACAAAGTAGACCGAGGAAAAAGATTCCCTTTCCATCGCTGAACCGAGCCAAAACTTGTCCTAAACAATGACACCAGGCTCCTACTTGAAACAGTTATACCTCGTTACCACTGTCACCGCCACGGGTCTATAGTTTGTCTACGATTAGAACTCCATCCGCCACAAAGTCTGAGACCGTCAGCTGCTGTGGAAACAGGAATAACGCATTTCAGGGAAGGTAGCTTCCCTTCACTCTAGGGCTAACACAGTAGACCGAAGGAAAAGATTCCCTTTCCCTCGCTGACCCGAGCCAAAACTTGTCCTAAACAATGACCCCAGACTCCTACTTGAAACAGTTATACCTCGTTACCATTGTCACCGCCACGGGTCTATAGTTTGTCTACGGTTAGAACTCCATCCGCCACAAAGTCTGAGACCGTCAGCCGCTGTGGAAACAAGAATAACGCATTTCAGGGAAGGTAGTTTCCCTTCACTCTAGGGCTAACACAGTAGACCGAAGGAAAAGATTCCCTTTCCCTCGCTGAACCGAGCCAAAACTTGTCCTAAACAATGACCCCAGGCTCCTACTTGAAACAGTTATACCTCGTTACCATTGTCACCACCACGGGTCTATAGTTTGTCTACGGTTAGAACTCCATCCGCCACAAAGTCTGAGACCGTCAGCTGCTGTGGAAACAATAATAACGCATTTCAGGGAAGGTAGCTTCCCTTCACTCTAGGGCTAACACAGTAGACCGAAGGAAAAGATTCCCTTTCCCTCGCTGACCCGAGCCAAAACTTGTCCTAAACAATGACCCCAGACTCCTACTTGAAACAGTTATACCTCGTTACCATTGTCACCGCCACGGGTCTATAGTTTGTCTACGGTTAGAACTCCATCCGCCACAAAGTCTGAGAGCGTCAGCTGCTATGGAAATAAGAATAGCGCATTTCAGGGAGGGTATAGTGCATCTTTCAGGAGAACTCCTCCAGACAGCCGTCTCGCGTCATGGCGGGTTCTATGGTTACGAGGAAAAGACGCTTCGATTAGGGGTGTGGGGTGAATAGTTTTATCTTAATCTTGGCATAGGTCGTCGTGAGTAAACCAGTCGACACTTTCTCTCCTCCATTTCACCCCCATTAGAAATGTGCACTTTCCTGTTACCATAGTAGCAGACAGTCCCAGACTTTTAATCTGGAGGAGTTCTCCACAAAGCCGCACTATAGCTTTTCTCCATTCCAACACAATAGACTAGAGAAAAAGATTACCTTTCTCTAACCGACCCGAGCCAAAAATTGTTCTTAACAGTGACCCAAAGTACTTTAAATAGTTATATCTCGTTACTATAGTCACCACCACGGGTCCGTAAGGCCTAAGAGGCTCAGGCCTATGGTCCCTAAATTCCTGAAGGCCCCTAAGTGTTACAAATGTATTGTTTCAAATGTATGTTCCTTAAGAATTATCTGTTAGAAAAAAGAGTTAATAAAAATAGAAATAAGTAAAAGCCTAAATTTACTAATATATCACAATTTACATACGTTATAAATATTTAAAAACTCTTCATAATTAAACAACTTGAAAATTTGGTTAAAAATAACAAACAGATGACTCCTGACAGTTCTGTGCCTAGGGTCTCAACTTTTCTAGATTACGCCCCGCATATTAAAAGTCTATGGAAATATGATTATGCAAAATACACGCTTCAGCCACCACCTTAAAAAAAACACTGAACATTTTCTTTTAAAAAGTCATGCGCAGTAACAAAAAAGTGGAATTTCAAGCTGGAAATATTAAAATCTATAACAAACATGCTTATTTAGACATAGGGGATGGAAAAAAATGAAACACTTCTGTACTAACTGCATGGAAGCAGGAAATATTTTCGAAGTCAAAACTTTTAGCACAATTTGATAGAACATGCTTGAAGCGTTTAAAAGTGGAGTCTTCTTTAATCATGCAGAATATGTCGATACCAAAATATTTTACCAAAAGCGTAGTAGTAGGCAGGCACGGTCTTTCCATATTTTTATCCAGCCCCTGTAAGAAGATGGTAACCTTTGACTCTCTAAAAAGTGAGAGTGTTTTTGGATGCCATTTATTTTTTAAATTTCAATAATATTTCGTCACTTTTTTCACAGTTGCTGGCTAGCGGTTATGTGATAATAATGGGCCAGAATTGCGCTTTTCCAGATCACCAGAGTCAACCAATCGCAGATAGTGCACAAGATATATCGCTTGTAAGTACTTTCCGGTTAAATGTCCGTATCAGTTACATTTTAAGTTAGTAACTTAGAAAGTTAGAACTTAGTAACTTAGAAGAAGTTAGTAAATTGAATAATATTTTTCTAAGTTAGGTTGCAAGTTAGTTTATGGCTTTTGATTCACATATTCGTAATTAAAAAAAAGGCCACATTAAGAGCCAGTTATAGCATGGTCTTTCCTCCTTCAATGTTTAAAAATATTTAATATTCCAAAATGAATTAGACAAGAAAAAAGTAAATAAACATATATTGCTGAAAATTAAATAACATTAGCCTATTAATCACCGAGATTTTCATAATGGGATCGTGTCCCTTTTCAAAAAGATAAAGAATATGGGCTTATTTATTACTACAATATTTATAGTCTAACGAATAGTATGGGGCTGGTAAGAAACCCGTTTGATTACCGAAAACCATAAGATATTTTAACGAAATTGCGTCATTGTTAAAATGAAGTAAAAAGTGCTTTTATAAAGAACATTTAATGTTTAACTGAGGGAAAACTTTTTTTTTATCCTTGCCACTTCACTTTTTTTCAAACATTACGGTCGCATGATACTGGATTAAAATAAAGAAAATTTGAATTATTAATATACTAGTTAAAAACCTATTTTTTGTACGAGGGGAAAAGTAATTAATCAATAAAACGTTATTGATCAACACTATGAAATCTTGTAAAATGCCATTATCTCGTGGTCTCATGGTTATTATACTCGAAAAGTAGCTAATGTTAATTTCATTTATTAAAATTTTGAATTTTATTAGTGACCACGTTTGATATTTTTAGTCACCCATGGCCATCCTGCTACCACAGTGTTTGCAAATTACCATCTCCATTCCTCCTCACTACTCCTCATCATCGATTTATTACTACAGATGAATTGGTTAATGCCGCTTCGCGGCAGCGCACCGAGATTTATGTGATTTCTACCATTGTTTGCAAATTATTTTATAAAATTGTAGGCAATTAAAAACTAAGGTTTACAGAATTTTTAGTAATTTTGAAAGCATTTCAAATGTCTAGCGTCTCATATGAATTTTTGAATCCTTTAACCCCTTGGGGACTGGTGATTCAGAAAAGCATTCGTACAAAATCAGAATCAGGATGTAATTAAACAAAAAACGGTAACTTGGCCCTTTCGCACCGGACGGGACATGTGCTGTCCCAGTCCATGGGTGAAAGCCCTTATATAGCAAGACGGAAAAGAGAAAAACCTGGTACGTAAAACATTTCATTCCAGCATTTTTTTCGAAAAAAATGAAATACAGTGAAACTTCTCCTAAAGGCCACCTCTATTAAGGGCCAATATTTTGAGGAACGAAAATTTTCCCCATAGACATAATGTTAATTTTCCTCCTATTTGAGGGCCACATTTTCCTGACTACCTCCAATAAAGGCCATTTTCCCCCCGTCCCATGAGTCCCCCGTGCCATATTTATCAAACCAAGAAACGCTAATAGAAGTAAATAAACTGATATCCCAATCCAAGGCATTAATAAGTGATGCGATTTTAACTAATTTGTTTTATAGAGTTAAGGAATCATTAGAAACTAAAATTGTTTGCGAAAAAATTGCAAAAAGAAAACAAACTTCAATTGAAAATTTTTTTAAACATGTATAAAAACTTAAAATGTTAATAAACAGTTTTTTTCTACATAAATTTTGATTTCCTCATTTTATTTTTTGGTCACCCCCATTTAAGGGCCACCCCCCATAAGGGCCAATTTTCAATGGAAGGACATGTGGCCCTTACCGAGAGGTTTCACTGTATCTGTAACTATCAAGATTTCTTTTATAATTCTGGCATATATATAAAACTGCTTCTTTTCCAAGATAAAGTAGATATTGTTGAAAAATTTAAAAAAAGAATAAGTAAACTCCTCCACGATACTAGCTATAACTGAAATTGTTTTATTACCAGCCTTTCCTCTTTTCCGTCTCTCTTTCACCCCTGCTGATTTTTCGCCGTATTGAAAGGGTTAAATGTAGTCGTTGCTAATTTGACAGACTTACTTTGCTTTTACTTTAATTTTTGTTAGTTTAATCATATATATATAATCAGCGTTAGTTCAAAGTATAACTAAAGAGTTTTATTTTGAACAAAGTAATGGTGAATTAAATAAATCAAACAATTATAACTCCACCCACAAATAAACTGCTAGAGAATTACTTTGATTACCAGTTTTATCTATTTACCCTGGTTGATATGGTTTTATGCTGGCACGTATTTGTGACAGTCGGCGCGAAAGGTTTAAGTGTAGTGCTGTGGAAAATAACTTTAAGTAAAATTTACAAAACAAAGATTCCTTAAAAAAATAATCATTGAGAATCATATATTTAAAAATAAAGTTAACTACCATAGGAAAAAAAATTTCAAATAGTGTAAAAGTTTGCGAGTTGTTGATATTAATGCAAAAAAAATTAGCATACTATTTCTTAAGTATCACTTTAAAAGTTAAGAAGAGATGCAAACTTTTGAGTCAACAGCGATATGTAATTATTAGTGATCAAAATAGTTTATAATTAAATTTTTTTAACCAAAAAGGGAAATACTATAGTAAAATTTTACCTACCACTTCAAATATAAATAAAATCTCACTTGCGTAAAAGAGTTTCTCTAGTGTACAATTGTAACGTGAAATTGTAATTGTACCCTAAATATTATATAATTACAAAAAAACTATCAAATTGTTTAGTTAATGTAATGTTTCAGAATTAGAAAAGCAATTTCTAGAAAATATCAAATTTTATAAATAAACTCACTGTAAATATTTTTCTAGTTAGAACTGATCAAAAAAGATAATCATTTGATATTACTTTTATCATTGTTTACAAGATTTCTGGAAATACATGAAAACATCGAAAAAAATCATCTAGCAATAAACCATTTAATTGCTACTCTAGTTTTATCGGTTATCTATAATATAAGATAAGATAGAGGGTCACGTTATACTCTACAAAATAGATACATTTCAGAGTTCCCACGGTGTGGAAAATCTTTTTAAGTTGTAGAGTAAGTGATAAAATTATATATATAGCAGAGATGCCAGCTTGCTTCGCTTTGTAAAATAATATTTTCTAGTGATGAAGAAATTTAATATATTTTTAGTTCAGTTATTTTCATTTTGAGTAAGTTTTTTAAGTGAGCTTTAGTAAGTTTAAGTTTTTTTCCACCAGTACAAATCAGAAGTTCAAAGTATCATTTGAAATGCAACTTTATTGTAGACTTTAACCCTTTAACGGGCCTTCTAGTAAAGGTAAATTAAAATATTTTTGGAATTGAAACTGGCAGAAAATGACGTAGGTAACGAACAACTTAAAATCGATTCCACTGTATTAGTTAATTTATATTAAAAGGTTTTTAAAAAATTCTCCTTGTTTAGAAAATTGTTTGCTTAGCCCTTTAATGTGCCATTTATTTCTAGTAAAGGTAAATTGAAGTATTTTTTGAATTGAAATTGTTTTAAGAATAGTAATTGATATAAGAAAGAAAAAACCCCATTTAGTTTATAAAAATGCCATTTTTTTGGTGGTAAATATATTTAACATGACCTATTAAGAACTTACTGACTTTCATTTTTCCTTATTTATAAAATAAATTCCTTAAATGCTACAAACTTCAAAAGGAATTATGTATTTTATAAATTTTATACGTTTTTTAAAAGAAATGGTTACCAATTTTATTCAAACTCACTTCAAGAAAGCTGAAGTTATTGAAAAATGGAAACCGAAATTAAAAGTGGTAAAACGTGGTGGTAAGTATACTTACCACGACCTTCAAAAGGGTTAAATTTAAGACGTCTGTAACATAATGAAGTTTTCAGTAAACTAATAAAAAAACTGGTTGATAAACTTATTTTACTAGATTTTGGAAGCATTGTGTCTTATGGTGATTGACAAATGTGTACCTCGGGTTCTATGAAGCTAAATATACTGTTTTTAAATATATTATTTTGAATATAACTCAAACTGTGTATTTAACCCATTCTTGCTAAGCGCCCTTTCCTCTAAAAAGTAATAAACGGTAGCAAAAGTGTTTAATTATTATAATATTCATAATTAGATTAATATTCATACTTAGAAAGTAAGACAAAGTATTGTGCGTTTTCAAAACTGAAGCCATAAGTACTGGAAGAAACTACCAACTAACAGGGATACCGCAATTCGACTAAAAATGTAATTAGTGATAAAATTCAATTTTTTTAAAAATTTATTTAATGATTTAATCGTAACTACGACTAAGACAAACATTCTAAATTATTTATATTTAAGGCGAAATGTTATTTGCATTATCTTGCTACTTAGTCTCAGTTGCCCTAGAGCAAAATACAGATTTAGAAGTCTGGTGCCCGCTACCACGTGCAGGTACTTCACCAATTACAGATCAAACAAGCAACTTACATTATCCTCCACTAAGCCTATTACGTATTTCAAGCCAAGATCCTCTATCGACATTATCTATCCTTCTATCGACATTCGGCTACGAGCGTTATCTCAGATAAAGGAGTGGGGTTTCCTCCTCGCGGACAAGGACTTTGCGTAGGTTTCCTATAGTTCAAGATCAAGTTCTTTGCAACAACCTTTAATATTTAACTGAAAGAAATATGTCAGAAGAAGTTGGTTCTTTAAATGTTCAATGGTCGCTGAGTTTGTTCGTAGAGCCACGGGGGTCACCGGTGATAGGCGATTCAAATTAATTTAATTAAACGGTTTTACTACTAACGGAGTAACCGTATGCCTCCTACAACTGAAAGCCTCCACACGGTTTTTTATAGGTAGTCCGATCAGACCACCGTGAAGAATATCCACTTTCCGAACGAGTCATTTAATACAAAATCTAGTTAAAATAAGAAAGTGGTAGCAAATATATGTCTAAACATTTGTCTTATTCATGAATATTATTGGTTTGCCTCATTCACTTGTCAACCACTACATATTCA